GAGTCAGACATTGTCGGACACAAGAAACGGGTGTTGGTGGATCCGGGTATGTCGGTCCCCCTGCAAGAGAGCGGGCCCGCGCTGCGCCGTCGTTCTCCAGGATGCGGGAAGTTCGTGGAAACAATAGGAGAGGAGGAATGGTGAATGAGGCGCGCCGACAGAACTGAAAGACGACGCGGCCATTCAAGGGTGCCCCGGAGCGCGAGAGCTTGCTGGTTGGAGCGAGAGCGGGACCGAAACGCGGCGACGGACGGACGGATGCAGAGGAGATGCTGCGAGTGTGCGATCACAGTAGCCGGAAGGGTGCGGATAGACCGGCAGAGTGGAGCTCGCCCTCTGCGAACGAGACAGGGACGGAGAAATAATTACAGAGACGCCACGTCGATAAATCAAGCCCGGTGCCCTCTCTCTCTCTCTCTCGCTCTCTCTCTCTCTCTCTCTCTCCCTCTCGTACTCTACTCGTCGTTTCTCCCTTCTTCCTCTAAGCGCCCTCCCCGTCGTCGGTGATGCCCTTTTTCGCTATTTCTCTCTCTCTCTCCCCTTTCCCCTTCTCTTATTCCACCTCTCTCTCTCTCCCCCCTCCTTCTCTCCCTCTCCTTCTGTTTCTCCTCCTGCTTCTCCACCGCTTTCCACCGTTAAGCCACGCGTTTCTTGCTTCGTAGAGCAGAGAGTAGTGTCTTTATTACGCTCGGTGCTCGGCCGCATTCTACAGGCCGGCTCACAAATTCACAAGCTATTGCCGTCATCGCGTCAGTTACGTCACTGGAGTCCGTCGCAATGACGGACGTGCCGTTGTCGATCACACTCTCCGACACAGCTTTGCGCGCGTTTCTAGGCCCAGCTGGTCCTGGAAACGAGGCGTTCCAATGCCGCCGGATAGCGCGATTTTTTTCAGCGAGAGAGCACTCGTCCTTCTTGTGTACCGTTATCGCTATTCAAGTTGACCGACATCTCGCGATTGACAGGTGTATATTATTTAGTCGACGGCGAACTTCACCGAACGTCGAAGAATGCAACCGACAGCAAGATCCAGGCTCGGTTGGATTAGCGCTAATTGCCGCGCCGTTCACGCTCAAGATCCACTGGATCCTCTCACAGCGTGAATGATCCGCAGCTCGGAATGCGAGCCTCGTGAGATCCATTCTCCTCGATGTTTGTCTGCGATATCGCCTTCCCCACGGCGGGATGTGCGAGATCTCACTTCCACCGGATGTGCGGAAATCTCCTGGCCCGGCCTTTTTCCGGCCGATTTTTGTCCCTTCGATATCACGGAGGCGCTCGTCAGAGACGGGACGCGCGTGTTCTCCCACTGACCGGGCCTAATTTTGCCCGTGAGTGCCGTGAGTCGCGATTACGACGGCGGACGCGACGTCGAGGACCATTTGAGAACCACTTTCGCGCCGGCGAGCAATACGGGTGGTCCACGGCGACCGCGTCGTGGCGGAACGAGCAAATACGCCGTCGGCATTTTTGACGGTGAAATCTGACTAGGTGGGATACCAGGGTACCCTGTGCGCGCAACGGCCGTCATTCTCATGCGCCCCTCGTCCATTACTACTGCTCGTACGTATAGTCATATGCTCCTTTAAATCGCGCGCGCGCGCGTGTGCGCAGCCTCGTCGTCCTCCTCGGTGGAGAGACACGCTCCTCTTCCCGCTTCTTCAAAGTCCCTGCAAAATGCGAAGTCAATTCGCGCAGACGCGAGTACCCGAGCACAAGCCCGCTTTCGAGAACAATAGTCCTTCTCCCCTCTCTCTATAGTAACTAGATAACAATCGTTATTAGCGATTTGTTTACCAGAAGTCGTCGGTTTCAGTTTGTCTCCTTCCACCGCGTATCAGACCGTTATTTTCGAGCTCGTTCGGAACGTCAGGAACTCCGGTTGTTTTGAAGACGCAGAAAGCTGTATTACGACACTGCCTCGATCGATGTTTCCCTTCGGGGAATCCCGACAATCTCGCGAACAGCGTCCGTTCGAAAGGCTCAAAGTCGGCCGACGCGAAAGAGCACGTGAACTTGGCGCGATCCTTCTCCCGTTAGCTTTGTGTTAAGAGAAAGAGAGGAGAATTCAGAAGCAACAGGACGTCGGCAAACGATCCCTTTCGCAGATATGAAGTGGGGAAGGTACGTGAGCGACATTAAGAAGTCGAAGATCTCGAGAACGATTCGTTGAAGTTGCGTTGAGATCAAAGTAGTAGCAAGGACCTGGACATTAATAACCGATACCTAAATTTAGGTATTCTTATTGTCTTGGTCTTTAAATGCGAATATTTAATGGAGGAAATGAGAAAAACGCTGATGAATTAAAATCAATATGAGGAAGGGCCTATAAAAGCCAAGCACAGATGACATAGCGCTATAAACAATTATATTTATGCAAATGCAGATGAATAAAATTGTTTTTTTTTTCATAATGAATATTTAAACTTTTAATATAGAGAATATGTATATATATATATATATATATATATATATATATATATATATATATATATATATA